TCTGTATGGTCAACATTTCCGAGTTAGAACGGATCATGCAGCGCTGAAGTGGCTACTACAGTTCAAGAATCCCGAAGGGCAGCTAGCACGGTGGATTGAGAGGCTGCAAAGTTATGACTTCACAATCGAGCACCGCAAGGGGATTACGCACGGAAATGCTGACGCTATGTCCCGTCGACCATGTAATATAGAATGTAAGCATTGCTCAAAAGCTGAGGTTAAAGAAGACATAATAGATGTCCGGCTAATGAAAGTTACGCAAGCAGAAGAGTGGGAGGCAAGTAACTTAAGGAAATGTCAGCAAGAAGATCCAGATTAAGAATTATTAATGCAGGGGTTGGAGGTAAATAGACGACCAAGTAAGGAACAAATGGCTGCGGAAAGTCCTATCGCGAAGGCATACTGACATTCACATTCACTAACAATTGGGTTACCAGATACGGTGCGCCTATAGAATTGCACTCAGACCAGGGAAGAAACTTTGAATCGGCGGTGTTCCAGGAGAAGTTTCAAATACTTGGTAGAGCGATTCAACCGGACCCTTGAAGAGCACTTGCGGAAAGTAGTGGACAGGCATCAGGATGAAAGGATGTGCATATACCGCTTTTCCTGAAGGGATATCGGTCCGCCGTGCATGTAACTACAAGGAAAACACCTGCGAGGATACTGTTTGGTAGTGAACTACGGTTGCCCAGCGATTTAAAATTTGGAATAACTGGCGATGCGAGAAGAATTGGGAAGATAACGTCTACCGATCTCAAGGAAGAGCTAAGTGTCTAAGCGCCCAACATAAAACTAAATTGTAAACGCCATGCGCGCCAACTTCCGGTTTCCCGTTCTTCCGTGTCTCCTTTCACGCGGCTATCCTTCTTTCCGTGTATACCCTACTTCGTTAGCCGAACTATCGTTTAAACAGCGGTAAATCGAGCAAACAAAAAAGGGTATACTTTAACGCAATCTTTCCAACCACCTACGCGCGCTCACGGCGTATTTTATCGCGGCATCTTTGCTATTTTGTTAAAATAATAGTGTAGGAAAAATTTATTAATTTAATAATTAAATAAAAAATAAAGTACTTAAAGTGTTTGTGCACCCTTACGAAAATAATAATATTTCTTTTTACTTTTCTCGGCCTTAAAGCCAAAATCTTAAGGCGCATAAATATGGTCCTTCTAGGCCAAAATTGAACATCCAAAAATTAACTACAGTCCACAAACGTCGCTCCCTCGTGCGTTCGCTTAAAAAAAAAAAAAGTTCACATAATAAAACAAACAAACAAACGTGTATGCCAAATATCCCTAAAAAAAAAGGATGTGCTGTGCAGTGAAAAAAACAAATTAAACCAAAAAAAAAGAAAAAAGGTTATACAAAACCAAGCCACAAAATACAAAATATAATTTGAGAAAAAAAAAATTAAATAAAATAAAATAAAAACCCAAAGTGCGATATCAAAAATATACATATATGTGCATAGCATACACATACATACAAAAAAGAAATTTTTCATTTTTATAAAATAACAAAGTGGTGAAGCACACACATACATACACATACATACACATACCGAAGTGTACACACATACATACGTCCAAATCAAAAACATAAAAAAAAAAGGTCACATAAAAAAACAAAGAAACAAACGTGTATGCAAAATATCCCTAAAAAAAAAGGATAAAAATCCAATGAAAATTAATATTATAATAAAATACATACACATGCAATAGTGCACACACATATACATACATACAAAAAAATTGTTTTTAAAAATTGTGAACAAACAACAAAAACAACAACAAACTCAACGTTGGAAGATATCGAACATCCTACAAGAGAGGAACAACAACAAAGATCTGCAGCACCAGCATAAGGAAATCCCCTACACACACACACATACACACAAGGAAGCAGACCCACATACCTACAACGGAAAAGGGAAGTAAAAAGGGCTACCAAGTAGTAAGTTGCGAACTTTTTAATTTCCTTAAAAAAGATATACTATCTTAGACTTCCCCCCTTTAAAAACTGCAAATAGGTTTGTTTTTTGTAAGACGGATTTTCATTCCCGCCAAAAACATTAAATTTGAAATTCAATCCGCTAATTCGAGCGGAAAAAGGTTCTTCTTGCCGCTAATATATTTATTTAACTACCGTAAATAAAATCGGTATTTTTAATACAATATATATGTATGCATACTAAGTACATTTCTGTACATTATTAGCTATATACATATATACATCTAGTTGCAGTTTTTACGGCACTTTGCAATTTCTCTATTGCAGGCAAACCAAAGTTGAAACCTTCAATTTTTTACTTTGGTAGCCGTTTCAAGTTCATTGCCCTAATTACCTACTTACTCTACAGTAAGTGTAAAAGTTCAAAGTACTCTAAAACAGCGACTTGTCAACAACTTTGGCAGTGGTTCTCGAGTTGAACGAACTCTACGAACAAAGAGTGTTATAATAACAAGTGATCTTCTCACTAAACTATAATCTACCATTGTCTTTTGTGCGTTATCCGCTTATTGCAATAGATGAGCAGTGCACTTTACAGCATCCAACTAGTTCAAGAGCATTGTGCACACTCCTACGCTCATATTTGAACACTCTTTATCATTGCTATTTCTCAGCATTGGTTAGCTGCATTTCTCTTTGGCAGCAAATACAATAAATCCAAGCATTAATACACCAATATATATATACATATATATTTTCATATGAGCCGTACCAAAACAGCTGGTGCATCTTGATAACACATTTAGCACACATATATATACATAAACGAGTGCGTGCATAAATAACCATAAAGATATTGTACAAGATAGATTTTCTAATATCTTGCCATCCCGACAAAAAAAAATATATATTACATATTTACATATATATATGTATATTTAATAAATAATAGTCTACTTTATATTATTTTATTTAACTTATATATATATAATATTTTTACACGTCATTTCAACACATATATTTCAATACACGTATATAAACAAGTGTAAGTGTGTGTGATTTCCTTTTTTTATTCTAAATTTATTAAAACTATTTTTTTGTTTTACTTCGATTATATACTTTGTTTATTTCAAAACAGTAGCTTAACTTTTTTTCTATAAGTAAAGTTTTGGTATTATATACATTCAATAATTTTTGACAAAAAAAAAATCACGCACACACTCGCATATATATATTTAATTTCCGAGTTTATTAATTTTCTGTGGGCAGTAGTGCAAATATTGATTTCACTATCTGCTGGGTGGGTAGTTCAAAAAAAAAGTTTCTTGCTTTATTAAATTTTTTAGGCCTTAAAAAGGTTTTTTTTTCCAAAATCCCTCAATGCCTATTGGACACAGTCCCAAAAAATCTCTAGAACAAGAAACGAAAATTGCCAAGATGTCAGATACTGAGGGTAAAGCGAAAACTACTTCGCTGGATTCCGCTAGTGCAAAGAGGAAATCCTCACAAACGCGCTCAAGAACTAAAGCGTACGACCCCTGTGCGCAAAAGTTTATAAACAGATAAGTGACAGCCTAATGAGATACTGTGCAAGATTTGGTAATTTCCCAATTGAAGATCATACTGAATCGTATCTCGAAGTCAAACACAAAAGTCTAAATGACTATTTTGTACGACTACAAGCTGCCTTTGATAACGTTTTTTCAAAAACGGATGACAGCCTGCCTGACAAGTTCAAAGAGTCTGCTCAAGGCAAGTACGATGCATGTCTTGACATTTACGAAATTACCCAAATCAAGATGTCGGACCAGCTAAAAATGCTCAGACTAGTCGATGCTCCGAGTCCACCATGCCGTGTGGAACCCACTTCAGAGCAATCAAATGCTTCCAATGTCTTCTAACAAGTTCCTCCTTGTGTAACAGAGATATTTTATGGAGGTTATGAAGAATGGCCGGCTTTCCGTGACATGTTCACAGCCGTGTACATTAACCACCCGAAGCTCTCTCGTGCTCAAAAATTATACCACCTCAGGTATAAAACTCAAGGAAAAGCCGGAGCTATTGTCAAACAATATCCTTTGAGTGACGATAATTTCGATCTGGCTTGGGAAGCGCTTCGGTCTAGATATGAAAACAAACGCATTTTAGTAGACAATCAGGTCAAAATTTTAATGAACTTGCCTGCTATTCAATCCGAGAATAGTGAACAAATACAAAGGCTTCAAACAAGTATTAACAACTGCCTGTCTGTCTTACATTCTCAAGACGTTTCAACAGACAGTTGGGATCCTATACTGGTATACATATGTTCAACAAAATTACCAGAAATAACTCTGTCACTTTGGGAACAATCGCTCTCATCAAGACGAGACCTATCCCAATGGTCTCAATTAGACGACTTTCTAACTTCTCGGTACGAAGTAGTAGAAAGACTAAATAGGCTTCATCTTAATGAGCCAAAAATCAGTGCTCCATATGCTGCTCAGCAAAAACCTTTAATTAGGACACAAAACTTTATGGCAGAACCAATGAAGGCATATTCCTGCCAGGTGTGCAACTCCAGCCACCCCCTAAACAAGAACGTTTTAAGGTTGTACAGAAAAACAACCTATGTAAAAACTGCCTTGCTTACAACCATAATGTCAAAGACTGTAAGAGCAAGTTTACATGTGCAAAATGCCAACAAATGCATCATACTCTACTGCACATAGATGTTAAACCACATACTCAACGTACCAATAGCCGACCCCATGAAGCTACAGTACAACATGCAACGGCGAAGTCGACAATTCCCGCTCGACGGCCACAATCCAGCTCCAATCCCGACGAGCAACCGTGCTGTTCAAAGCAAGCACACATACAGTCTTTACACTCAAATATCGAAAACAAAGTTCTTCTTCCGACAGCCATTGTGGCAGTTGAACATGAAGGAGAATTATTTCAATTACGGGCCTTGATTGACCAAGGATCCCAAAGGACTTTTATTTCCTCGAAAGTCCAGAAAAAATTAAAATTACCGTTCGAACATTCCAGGTTCGAAATTTCATGCATGGGTGGCCGAGTGGTCCAAAAATCCTCTAAGCTTTGTTCTTTGACGCTGGTTTCTTCCAAAACCAAGCAAAGAATTAAGGCTCATGCAATAGTGTTACCTCAGTTAACAAAGCTTCTTCCGACCTTTACAATGAGTCGTGAAAACTGGCATGAACTGAGTAGTCTCGAGCTAGCTGACCCAAATTGTCACATTCCAGCTCAAATCGATATGGTTATCGGCAGCGATCTTATTCCACAAATTCTAGTGGAAGGGCTGCAAAAAGTTTGCGACAATCTTCTTGCGCAAAATACCATATTTGGATGGATACTTAGTGGTTCGGTGACCGAAAAGGTATCCTCATTTTCCACCCAAATAGAACGAGTTTCCAATGAAACGCTCAGTGCATAACTGAGGCAATGCTGGGAACAGGAGGAAGTCCCTTTACCCTCCCAAGGAACGCCTGAAAATCAGGCATGTGAAGATTATTATGTTGCAACAACGATCCGTACTTCAAGCGGTCGCTACATTGTCAGGCTTCCATTCAAGGAAACTTTCCCGCTCTGCGGCATTCCAGCAATTCCTTAGTATGGAACGCACGCTTCAGAAGAAACGGGAGTTAAAGACAATGTACAACGATATTTTGGAAGAATATATAACGTTGGGCCATAGGGAACTCACAACCCCCGTGAAATCAATTCCTATGGCAACTACCATTCGTTCTATTTGCCACATCATGCGGTTGTAAAACCAGATAAAGTCACGACGAAAGTGCGAGTGGTTTTCAACGCATCCAAAACATCAAGTTCTGGTAATTCCCTAAATGATGTTTTACATACAGGTCCCTCACTCCAACCGGACCTCATGTTGCTAATTTTACAATGGCGCATGTACAGATATGTTTTCAATGGAGACATTGAAAAGATGTATCGGCAAATCCTCATCCATGAGGACGATAAAGATTATCAGCGAATTTTGTTTCGCGAATCAGAGAACTCCCCCATCCCTGATTATAATCTTAAAACAGTAACATTCGGGGTTAATTGTGCGCCATATCTCGCTATCCGTACTCTGCATCAATTGGCAGAAGATTCAAAAGAGAAGTTTCCACTGGCCGCACCAATACTCAAAACCCAAACGTATGTTGATGATGTCCTGTCCGGAAGTCATGATATTGACAATGCCACCGATTCACTCTTCCAGGTGATCAAAGCGCTAAAGTCAGCTGGCTTTATTCTCAAGAAATTAACGGCCAACAATCCGGCCATATTGGAGAAATTTCCGAGAGAAGACCTTCTCGACTCCAATTTCAGGAAATTCGAAGATGCTTCCACCACCAAAACTCTCGGTATTCGATGGAACGCATTAACGGACAAGTTCTCATATACCATCCTGCCAATTTCAGCAACTACAGCTGCAACAAAACGGCAAATTCTGTCGTCGGTCGCAAAACTTTTTGACCCGGCAGGATGGCTATCGCCAGTTATTTTACGAGCAAAGATTCTACTTCAAGAACTTTGGCTCGATGGCATTGATTGGGATGAAAGCGCAAAACTCACTTCAATGGTAAAATGGCAACAGTTTACTCAAAACTTGCCAGCCATTTCCGACATCGAAATTCCTCGATGGCTCAGTTTTACTCCGGGGCAGGATACCCAAATCCATGGGTTCTGCGATGCCTCGGAAAAAGCCTTCTTTGCAACCATATATGTGCGCACAGAAACATATGCTCATGCAACATCCACCCTACTGGTTGCAAAAAGCAAAGTTGCACCTTTGAAAACGATAAGCCTTCCTCGCTTAGAGCTGTGCGGAGCAGTCCTGTTAGCAAAACTGATTGCAACTATCCAAAACCAGCTAGGCTTAGAAGCGTGCAACGTATTTTTATGGTCAGACTCCGAAATAGTACTGGCATGGCTCGAAAAACCACCGTGCACATGGAAGACATACGTGTCTAATCGCACCTCCCAAATCCGGGAATATGTCCCAAGCGGAGTATGGTGCCATGCAGCAAGCGGAGATAAACCCGCTGATCTTTCGCACACGTGGTTGCAAACTCCTAGACTTAGCCATCAATTCGCTCTGGTGGCACGGACCAAAGTGGCTCATAAACCACATGGAATCCTGGCCTAATTTAAAGGCACGCAGTTCCTCTCCGCCAGAAAAGCGGAAAATTGAGGCCTTTCATGTGTTCGAAGAAGAGCTCGATTTTCTCGATCGATTCTCTTCACTCCCTTGAGCGATTCGCGTGACTGCGTATATGTTCCGTTTCGTGAACAATGTCCAGAATAAGTCAAAAATGCAGCCTATAACCACCATGCCACATCTGACTCATGCTGAATGCCGATTCGCAAAGCAGCGTCTAATCGAAGTATCGATATCTCGCTATTTTCCTGGCGAAAAAGATGGATAAAAACGGACTTCTCCGCGTCAATGGCAGACTAGCGCATGCCAAACTCAGCTATAATGAGCGGCACCAAATCATCCTCCCAAATGCATCAAGATTTTGTCAATTACATTTGAAGTTCTTAAACGCACTGCTTCTCCATGCAGAAACGCGCCTCATGCTTCAAATGGTCAGGCAAGAATACTTCATACCGAAACTAAAGTCTTTAATAAAAAAAATACATTTTTCAATGCAAAGCTTGCACTCTATACAAGCAACAAACGCGCTCCCAACTAATGGCCGCTCTACCCCCTGAGGGGTGCACTATGTCCATACCATTATCTGTAACTGGAGTGGACTTCGCAGGACCGTTTTTAATAAAGGCCTCAGTTTTAAGATCTACTACACTCGTCAAAGGGTATGTTGCCTTATTCGTTTGTTTCGCGACGAAGGCAGTACATCTTGAGTTATGCTCTGATCTTACCACTGAGGCATTTAAAGCAGCATTCGCCCGATTTTTGGGCAGGTGAGGATATCCCGCCAAAATGATGAGCGATAATAGAAAAACATTCATCGGAGCACAGAGAGCAACTGAAAGCGAATTCGTCTAATTCCTTAACGAATGTTCAGCAGACATTACCTAGAAGTATGCTTCCCAAGGCTTCAATTGGCAATATATACCACCCAGCGCCCCACATATGGGCGGCCTGTGGGAATCCGCAGTAAAGAGTTGTAAAACTCACTTCAAAAAAACCGCTGCATCCCACAAATTCACATTTGAAGAGTTCGCAACACTCTTAATTCGAATTGAGGCTGTACTCAATTCCCGGCCACTTTCGGCATTATCACAAGACCCAGCTGACTTCACAGCATTGACTCCGGGTCATTTCATTCGAGGCGCTCCGCTATTAGCCATTCCCGAGCCGAATGCAGAAACCCTCTCGTTAATTAACCGATGGGAGAAAGTCAAAGCACTTCACCATCAATTCAGTCGCCGCTGGAAAGAGGAGTACCTCAAAGATCTCCAAAAAAGGTACAAGTGGAAATCTCCACAGAAGAAGCCTCAAGTTGGCGACTGCACCGTAATCCGAGACGACGGTTTACCGCCGACCGAGTGGCGTCTCGGACGAATCGAAAAGATTCATCGTGGGCCTGATAATTACATCCGTGTCGTGGACCTCCGCACGCAAAACGGGATTATCACGCGGCCCTTAGTAAAACTGTACTTCATTCCGAATGAGCAACTTCCGCTTGAAGCACAGCAATAAAAAGAAAATCCTCCTCTTAATCCTATATGCTTAATGTCGTAATGTCAACTACCGATTGTTCCGTTTTTTATTTCCAGACGAAGGACAACAATGGCAACGCGAAGTGCAGTTCCTCTTCCACCGACCGCAGATACCAAGAACTGCCTCCAGTGTCTCTTGTGCCACCGCTATCACGCTTTGCGCAATTGCCCCGCGTTCCGAGTAATGCGCCCCCTTCAGCGCATCGTGGTAGCTAATGCACAAGGCTACTGCGGTAATTGTCTAGCGCTTACCCACGTCACTGAAGAATGTGACTCGCTCGAGAGCTGCAGGCGATGCAACAAAGCGCATCACACAATGCTGCATCCGTCCGAGCCGCAAACTAGCGGGCTAATCCCTAAACCAACGACCAAGCCAAAGAAGCAACTACATCATCGCGCCACACAGCAGCGCGCAATAGAGCAGCGCACCACCCAGCAGCGCACCTCACAACAGCGCCCCACACAGCAGCGCGTCATCAAGCAGCGCGCCATCCAGCAGCGTGCCATCCAGCAGCGTGCCACCCAGCAGCGCGCACCACAACGATGCGCAACACAGCAACGCTCCACATCGTCACGCGCCTCACCACCGCGCGCCACCCAACAACGCGCCACCCAACAGCGCGCCATAAGAAAAAGCAGCAATGAGAGCCAAAGGTCGTGCTCAGTAGCCCATACGTCCACCGGACTGGAGACGAAGGGATTTAGGAACCGCACCGCGAAAGGCGCCATCGGCGAGGCCATCCGCGCCCTAAAAAAACTGCAGAACGCACTGTCAAACGCGTCCCTGCAGGGCGGGCAGGATGTCTAAGCGCCCAACATAAAACTAAATTGTAAACGCCTTGCGCGCCAACTTCCGGTTTCCCGTTTTTCCGTGTCTCCTTTCACGCGGCTATTCTTCTTTCCGTGTATACTCTACTTCGTTAGCCGAACTAGCGTTTAAACAGCGGTAGTTCGAGCAAACAAAAAAGGGTATACTTTAACACAATCTTTCCAACGACCTACGCGCGCGCTCGGCGTATTTTATCGCGGCATCTTTGCTATTTTGTTAAAATAATAGTGAAATAATAGGAAAAATGTATTAATTTAATAATTAAATTAAAAATAAAGTATTTAAAGTGTTTGTGCACCCTTACGAAAATAATAATCTTTCTTTTTACTTTTCTCGGCCTTTAAGCCAAAATCTTAAGGCGCGTAAATGCTAAGAGAGGTGCATGCTCTTGTGAGACAGCGAACTCAAATTATGAGTGACAAAATGAAGGCCAGGTATGACAAGGCAATGAAATCCGAAGGCTTCCAAAATGGAGATTTGGTGTTGCTGTACAATCCACAACGGAAAAGGGGTTTGTTCCCAAAACTTCAATGTAATTGGAAAGGTCAATACAAGGTAATCAAATGACTAAACGACGTAGTGTACTGAATCCAAACCGTTGGGAGTCCAAGAAACAAGATGAAAGTGGTCCACCTTGAGAGGTAATCAAACGACGTGGTGTACCGAATCCAAACCGTTGGGAGTCCAAACAACAAGATGAAAGAGGACCACAACTCGAGTATTCTACACTTGCGTCTACGAGCAGCCGACTGCTATATAAGGGCGACACTCAGCTGCCAAGTCAAGTTAGTTACAAAGTGAACTCGTTGGCGTTTACATCAGTAAAGTCGTAAAGTAAACTCGTTGGGGATTTCATTTAAGTAGAGTAAATTGTGAAAGTTTATGCAAATGATTGTAGTCAGTAAAGTGCATTGAAATTGAATTGTGAATTACTGTGTAAATAAAGGACATTAGATAAATTCTTTGTAACGAAAGAAACTGCAAATTAAGTTGGCGAGTTTAATTTAACAATCCAGAGATCGAACGCGCAGGATCCAGAAAATCATCGAGGTTGATTTAGCAAAATCGTAACAATATGTTGGTATATCAATGTTTGGATTTATTGGTTTTGCTGCCGAAGAGAAATGTAGCCAATCAATGCTAAAAAATAGCAATCATAAATGGTGTTAAAATGTGAGCGTGGGAGTGTGCACAACGCTCTCGAACTAGTTGGATGCTGTAAAATGCTCTGCTCATCTGTTGCAAAAACACGGTTATTAGAAAAAAAAAACTTTTTTTTGATGTTTTTATTATTAAGTTAGGCTTAGCTGATCTGGTTAATTAGTGCAATTAAAACTAGTTTATCAACTTTTTGCCCAACGTTTTGCTAAATATTTTAGCATCTTCAAGGGCTCCTGTTCATTCATTTTGAATACAGAACACATGTTAGTTTATACATACATACATACTGAGTATTTAAAAAAAGAAAACTTACTAATATCAAAAAGCTTGCAATTAATTAATATGCTATGTCATTACCATAATGTTTGGTAGCTATATTGATACTAACTAATTATTGTACTTTTCCAAACAACATCGCAGCAGCATATTTGTTATGTTTGGAAAAGTAATTAGTTAGTATCGATATAGCTACCGAACATTATGGTAATGACATTGCATATTAAATAATTGCAAGCTTTATATACTCTGGTATAAGAGCAGAATGCCGACCCTCGCCCAGGAATAAATTACATAAGGGTTGTTGATAGGTATATTTACGTGATTTTAAGAGTATATAACATTTCTTGTGCAAATGGACATTATGGTCACTAAGAGGAGGAAAATGGCGGAATCCCAATATTTTAAAATATCTTTATTTAAAAATATACTGAACAGATTTCCTTAATACAGATAGTCAAGTAATTAAAATACCTTTTGTTTAATGTGCATGCATCTTAATCTATAATAACTCAAAAACCAGTCATAAAACTATTGCCAGATACTTTCTGTAAAACTTAGAAACTCCATGTTTCTCGTATGGCAATTATACGTGGAGAGTTCACGAGTAGGAAGACCATCAAGTTTATTTGTACCAGCTAAGGACCGATTGACCAAAAATATTGTACATCGATTGGCGCTTCCACATAAACTGTGATTTATTGCGGTTAAATATATTTAGCACATATATTTCAAACAAAAACATTTAAAGTATTTATTAAATAAATGTTATAAAAATGTAATGTTAATTTGTGTTAAATTTTGTCTCTCAAATTCTTCTTAAATTTTTTCTAATAAATAGTGTGATTTATTGTGAAACATATATTTAACATTTCAGTTGAATAGGTTATATTTTTTAGTTGCTTTATTTATAATGAAGTCACATAACTGAAAAAAAAAATAGTCCCTATTACAACCTGCCCTAAATTGGTTGGTTGTTATTGTTGTAATAGCTCGTTGAAGTTAGTTGATATCGTAAAAAATAACGAGCAAAGGGCGAGAAGTGTTAGATGAGTGAGTAATACTGATCATGCAAAAAGTGCTCTCCGTTGGATATGGGTAGTGGTTAGGCTCCGGTTATGGGGCTTTTAGACACAGAGCTTATGAAGTTATTTAACTTCTTTTCTTCGAAATTCGTAACAGAAGCGAAGGTTAGCATCAGGACGCCAATCAAAAAAATAGGCGACTAGTCAACAATCTTAAGCGGAAAAAGTGGGATCCTGCAACCTTTCTTCAGGGGCAACCGAGCTCTGGGCAACTGTCACACCCAACAAAACGCGTTGACCGGGCTGAAATTTTATTCGGTGACTGTGCCTCGTCGGATGGGTGCGCTAGCTATTTTAGACGCCTTTTTACACTGACTAATATGGCTGACGAAATGAAGCAACAAGTGACCCATCGTCTTCCCAAACTGCGGAATACAAGCGTGTCGCTCGATTTCTCCAGGGAAAAGGTTCAAGGAGTCATCAGGAAAGCGAAAGCATCAAAATTCATCAGTCCCTACGGAATAAGCATGTTGCTGCTAAAACATCTAGGGCCAGCGAGAGCAGACTTCCATACCAAGGTCCTCAACTTGTCTTTGACCATCCTAAAAATACCTGATATGAGGGAAATGGGTTAAGTGGTTCTTCTACTCACACAACATCTGAGTCGAGCCGCAAATCAGCACTTAACGTCATTAACACTCCGATAGTCAATAGTCTCGAATGTCCTGGTAGCACTGGATTTGCCAAAAGTTTTGTTACCGCCAGCCATTTAGTGCTAATATCGGACATTCAAGAATTCCCATTACCGCCAAGATTGAAGGGGTGGATCATGGGCTGTTGAGTAGTCGTCACCCTGCGGGTTAGGGGCTTAAGAATTTACCCGTGGTAAGGCATGCCTGTCGTAAGAGGCGACTAAAATCCAATAGTTCCCGCGACAGTCGGGGGTTTATACCGGAACGGCGATTTAATGCACCAACAACATTCCGTTTTGAGAAAAAATGTGTTTAAAGACTCACACGCACCCAGCAAAATGGGATACAGACATTATAAAACCTGTGCATCATTGTTTTGGCTATTTAAAGTCAACAACCGCTACTGTAAGTGAAAGTATAACCCAAGATCCGAATGTGTCTATTTGTCCACGTTTTCAAGAGCTGTGACTTTTCTATGATACATTACTGCGTTTTTATATAAAGTCTAACTCAGGCCGTACATATGTACCCACTAGTATAACAACAAGCAGTGGACGACGATTTTTTGAAAAAAATTTTCTCCAGCGTTGAAAAACATTTCTCCTCGGTAATACTAACATTAACGTAAATTATTAAAATTGTTGAAACTGGGGCTCCGAGAATTCTCAACTCTTAGAAGAGATGACATTACACAAAAAAAAACTTACTTCTGGTGCGCTTTTTGGTCCGCTGGGGTGATTGGACCTCACTTATTTGAGAACGACAACGGCAATACTGTCACTCAATTCAGAGCGTTGTAGTCGAATGATAACTGACTTTTTAAGGCCTGCAACTAACATAAAAGGGACTTCGACAATGTATACTTTCAAGAAAACGGTGCCATATGCCACCTAACACGAGCAAATATGGATTTATTATTATTTATGAGAGATATTAGCAGTGCTTGAAGGAAGTTGGTATTCGAATCGGTTGTGTTGTATATTTGCTTATGCTGGTGTAATAAAAAAATTATTTGTGATTATAGAAAAATTATATTTTTTTTTTGAATAAAACTTCTTTACTTTGGGATGATGTCACCAGTAGAGCCATTGCACTTCTGCATGATAGTACGCACTGCTAACCAATCGGTCACTTCGTAAATCGGTCAGTGTAAACTTGAATTCATTTCATCAATTGCCACCTGAAATAAGTTAACACAAGATGACATCTATAACTATAGCAATCCTTTAATTGGAAGTAGAAGGCTTCGAAAGTGAGAAGAATTTTAACCAATCATTATGGTCTATATGCCTTCGGCGAGTAAAAACGCAGAGACTAACGTTTGCTGGAAGCAGAAGCTACAGCAGGGAATACCACCTGAGTCAACATTGCTAAGTGAAGGTAAAAAAATCAGATATAAAAATTATCAACGACTTAAAGAAAACACCTTGGATAGTACGTGTAAATAGGGGTGTCTAAAAAGTCAGCTGCAAATCAACCATACATTGTCACGCATTCCATTGGGGGCTCTTTTTTTTATCAAGTACTTCGCATTGCTGGTTCCAAAATCCATTGTTCATGACTCACATTTTCTTGAATTTCCGCTTGCAAAGAAGTTTGCACACAATTCTGTCAACGAATAACTGATCGGTTTAATTTTGATATTTAAACTGATAAATTTGTTTCTGTTACACCTAAAATCGACACAAAATCTGTTTCAAAAATGAAATGGTTTTACAAATCAATTAGCATTCAAATACGTAACTTTTCAGTTAACTTTTTTAACTAGTTCCTTTATTATCCATAAAATTAATTGTTTCTTGCAGGTTGGTTAAATAAAATATATCATATATTAATGTTAATGTTTACTTCACTATTAATATTTAGACTATTTCTTCATATTTACTATCGACCACGGTCTTATATTTGTTGGTATTAAGTTATAATAGATGTTTAATGAAAATTTATTGTTAGATATATGAAATCATTTTTATTTCGCGATTAATCAAAATTTTTCTATTTTCTCTATTTTTTTAAATTATCATTTTTATTTATATCTGAAATACTTATTTGAGATACTGCTGGTTTTAACATATTCTAGTTATATATTAAATTTCATTTTAATTTACTTCAGCTGTAAATTAGATTTACTGATTGTGTAGTTAATCAGTTATTCAACATGTTTCTCCTTTAAGTTTGCATATAATACAAATTTGTTTATGGTGCAGCATTCACAGATTTTCTGGATTTATTTAAGTTTTTAGTTTCTTCAATATTAAGATTTTTAAATCAACAATGTTTAATAGTTAAAACAATTTAAAACATATTTTACACATTTAGAATTTTACTCTGGTTTTATTTTTTATTTATTAGTACATTTCAACAATTAGGTTTTCAAAAGGCTACAGATAACATGAAATCTAAATTATAAATTTGTTATTAAATTATCACTATATAATTCTATAATATTTAGTTTAATATATTCTCTTTGTATCTTTTACAACATGTTATTTCTTTTGAATAATTAAATAGGTTTTTCCGTTATTGTTACCAAAAATACTTTACTAATTTGTATGGATTTGTATTGGTGATTCTATTTCTTCAATTTTATATATTTAACTCTTTAACCTATTTTCTTTTCCATTCATATTTAAATATGAAAATTAAACAATGAATATGAGAAAAATCAGATCATACATCTGATATTGCCATAGATGATATTTGGAACTATGTGCAGTTACCTAATCCTATTTTGTCCCTGCATGCATTATATGCCAACAAACAAATTAACAATTACCGAAAATTTCGTAATATTTTTTGAATTACTATAGTCGATATAGTTTACCAACAACTAAGCACATATTACTGTGCTCTATAAGCAATACGGTTCAATATAGATGATATATGCACGAAACAAAATAAAAGCTGACCTATTTCAATGTTTTATACATATTTTTATTCTAATTGAACCAAGTATGTATCTTAGTTCAAAGTTATCTCTGGCGCAACTCTTTTAGAAAATCTAACAAACGTAACAGTTTAACCCATTTTATTATCCATTAATTCAACATTTATGTTAGTAACTAGCCGTCTGTTCATTCAAAACTTCTTCAAATTACATGAAATAAAGTTGAATTTAATAGAAATATATCTTAATTTGAAGTTGCTGATTCTCATCTTTGTTTAAATTAATACTTTTTTATTGTATATCTCTATTGTTTGTTTAGGTAAAATTCGTCTCATTACATTCCGTTACTTTTATTTTAGACTGTTTGCAGGGGTTTGAATATTATTATCGGCAGTGATAGACGATGTGTCGGACGATTTCTTCATTTTGTCGCAATAGTCATTAAAAATGTCTCGAAAGCGCAGCCAACATTTCTCTGGCACAGTTATAGCAGTTCGAAAATTGCTTTTTACCTGTAATGGAATAAAGAGCAATATCGTTATTTGCAACGCTTTATGAAAAAATTAGTTAACAATTTATTAAGAGCAAATACTAATTTACCTCACTGATGCGCATATAGACACCACGATTATTTTGCCCAATATCGAAATAAAAATTTTTATTGTCTACTTTCATGTGGCGTTCTTCAGGCAAATCACCTTTAAACCTAGTGAAATATAAACACATAAGTGATACAAATAAAATAAAGTAACAAGCTAACAGATCTGGTATAAAACATACAAGGAACAAACGTAGTCTTAGGCTGCAACTACCCATTTCACTTACCAGCCGTCCATAAGTAGCGACGAAAAGGCGAGAAAAACACACGAATTTACGACGCCGAAATGTTGCCAGCTGCCTGTGTGTTTGCACACTTTTGAACAAATTCATAATTTTCGTCAACAAATTTCATAATTTATTTGCTTGAACATAAACACAAGGCAAATATACATAATCTATATGGTAACAAATAATTAGTTACGCATTTATTTTTCATTTCTTTTGAACAAAACTACGCATTATCTTCGATTATTTAATGTTACTTTAAGAAAGGCTATACTGGCAACCTTGTATATCAACGAAAAATGAGCAGAGCCGGTTTTACGGAAAAATCAAAACTTCGTTGGTTTCTGCGGAACAACCGTCACCGACGGTATAGGAAAGCGGTGACAGCATTTTGTTTACATGGCGCTCTCATAAAATAGGTTACTGTGGACGGCAGGTACGGGCGTTGGGTAGTTGCAGCCTTAGGCTATAATGAATAATCGATTTCAATCGATTTGGATGTAACATTTGGAAATGTTATCGTTAAAGCAGCTTTAATTTTATTACGTTTTTACCCGAAGGAAATGCTATCGTTTTTTAAAATTGTTACGATTTTGCTGAATCAACCTCGATGATTTTCTGAATCCTTCGGGTACGATCTCTGGATTGTTAAATAAAATATCGCTAACTTAATTTGCAGTTTCTTTCGTTATAAAGAATTTATCGTATGTCCTTTATTTACTCAGTAATTCACAATTCAATTACAATGCACTTTACAAGTTATAATATCTTGTATAAACTTTCACAATCTACTTTACTTAAATATGATTTCCAACGCGTTTACTTTAGGACTCAAATACTTTATTCCGCTATACTCTATGTTGTTGCCAACGAGTTCACTTTGTCACTGACTTGACTTGGCAGCTGAGTGTCGCCCTTATATAGCAGTCGGCTGCACGTAGACGAAAGTGTAGAATAATCGAGTTGTTGGTTATCGAAGGTTCTCGTTTTATCGTTTCTAGAATGTACTAGTTATCGGCTTCTCTCTTTCATCTGACATTCGCCTCGCATTTTCGCAACACTGCCCTGCACCTAAGTCTGATCGTCCTGATCAGACACCTTCGCTGTTCCAAACTCAGCAAGCCTCTCAAGGTGGACCACTTTCATCTTGTTTCTTGGAACTCCAACGGTTTGCATTCGATACACTACGTCGTTTAGTCGTTTGATTTTCTTGTATGGACCTTTCCAATTATATTGAAGTTTTGAGGACAAACCCCTCTTCCGTTATGGATTGTACAGCAGCACCAAATCTCCATTTTGGAAACCTTCGGAGATCATCGCCTTGTCATACCTGGCCTACATTTTGTCACTCATAACTTGAGTTCGATGTTTCACAAGAGCATGTACCTCTCTTAGCTCTTCCTCGAGATCGGTAGACGTTACCTTCCCAATTCTTCTAACATCACCAGTTATTCCAAATTTTAAATCGCTGGGCAACCGTAGTTCACTACCAAACGTTATCCTCGCGGGTGTTTGCACTGTAGTTACATGCACGGCGGACCGATATCCCATCAGGAAAAGCCGTATATGCACATCCTAATCATCCTGATGCTTGTCCACTACTTTTCGCAAGTGCTCTTCCAGGGTCCGGTTGAATCGCTCTACCATACCATCTGATTGAGGATGTAGGGCTGTCGTTCGGGTTTTTCGAATACCAAGTATTTGGCACATCTCCTGGAACACCGCCGATTCAAAGTTTCTTCCCTGATCTGAGTGCAAT